GCCCAGTCTTCCTTTTTGTGAAAATACCACTTACTTATATATTCTACTATTAATGGTCATTTGTGTTCTTTCCAGTTGTGGATTAGTAAAATGCTTCTCAGAACAGTTTTGCATGGGAGATAGATGTGGAGTAATGGGCACCATTGTCTTGTTCCTCATTTCTGATTATAAAAGAAAATATATCCCATGTGTCACAATTAAGAATAATGTTTGCTAAAATTTTTTAGAAATACCTTTACCAGGGTAAAGATGGATGCTTTTCTATTCCTACAGTTTTCTGATCATGAATGGATATTGAACTTCATCAAATGCCTTTCCCTCATGTAATGAGATCTATGTATGCTTTTTTCTTTTATGCTGTGAATGGTTGCTGTAGTAGGAACTTTCATGCCCGTATCTGCCTGAGCACTTCAATATGTTCAAGCAAATCTCCAGCTGCCACCATCTGCAGTTCTCCTCCTGAAGACTGTCCTGGAAGCTGCAGAAGGCTGTTCTCTCTCTGCACAAAGCAGGCTTGAAGTGCCTGGGTGTCAACCCCCAACTTTCTTTTTTCCCTACCAGGGCCGGCACCCACAACCAATGACTGACAGGTGTTGGTATTGATATATTTCAGCTTCTCCTCTGGCTAGGGATCACCCCGAGATGTGCATTTCATGCTGTCTGAAACCTCTGCAGGATTAAACTCCTTTTGCTTGCAGTGATAGCTAGTTTGATAACACATTCTGTTAACTTTTTTTTAATCTTATTTTCTCCTCTTCTACTGGTGGTTCCTGAAACTCCTAAATAAATTGATTAAACTCAAATTCTTGTCTTGTGTCTGTTTCTGGGGAAATCCAATATAGACTGTCGAGCATTTTATTGTTGGTTTTTCCAACTTTGGAGTCCTAGAATAAACCATGTATATTTCATGTGATATATTAGATATTGCTGGGTTTGTTTTGCCATTATTCTGTGGATGATTTTTGCAACTACATCCATGAGTTAGATTAACCTGTAATGGCATTTTCTCTCCCACTGTAATTGTCAGACCTTCTAGCAAGGTAATGCTTGCCTTATAAAATGTATTGGAGAGCATTCCTTGTCTTTCTACTGACTGCAATAGTTGGTGAAAGACTGGAATTGTTACTCCTCGAATGTTTAAAGATATCTCTGGAGCCATCCATGGCTTCATGTATTTTATAAAGTTTTTCCATCCTGTGGAGCGTGTATATAAATACAGAAAAGACTATAAGGTGCTGCTTCTTCCTGATCTCCAGGTCTTATCAACAGGACATCCTAGGGGATGGTCAGACTGACTAGATTGCGGCTCAGATCTGGAAAGTCAATGCAACTTGGAGGCAAAATTATAATGTAAAGGTACTTCCACCCCTCCCAGGTAAAAAAAAAAAAAACAAAAAAAAACAAATAGAAAACAACAAAAAAAACAAGCCAGGCACCTCTTTTTAAAATTATAACTGCAATAAGGTAGATAATTACCAAACTGTGGACTAGAGGACAGGAGCCACGAACTGTGTTAATTTGCTCCAGTAAGTAGACCACATGAGGACCAGCAGCAATCATGGTGCTTAGCCCAGAAGCAAGCCTCCGATGGCCCAGAGTGAGGACTCCGCTGCCCTGGGTACTACCAAAGAAAGAGGGAAATCCACGTTTCCTCCAGGGACAAGACATTGTTTTTTACTGACTATTTTGGTACACAGGAGAAATTCCCGGGCCCACCATAAAATTATAGCGTTTACAGGACAGAGAACCAACACAGACTTTCTTCTGGCTTTAAGAAATACCTTTCGACTTGCTTCCATCTTTAGGGTATACCTTTCAACTGTATTATTAGAAGCTACAGAAATGTTACATGTGGTATAGTGGTTACATAGTTCTTAAGGACTCTAAGTATTCTATTAATCACCTGCCCCCTTAAATCTTTGACTAAGGCACCCTAGTGACCCCAAGATGTAGCATTAGTTCTGAGCCATTGTCTGATAACACAGCGAGGTGTATTTCTTTTTCTCTGATATTCTCCAAAGGGCCTCTCTTTGTGGGAGGCTGAGAGTAATACTCCCAGTACACACAAGGAGTATTATCATTGGGGCCAGTGGACTCTTCAGTGATGGTGCTCTAGGTTTATGAACTCTGCTGGTGGGTTTGGATTGGGGGTGTGACTTTATTGTGGTGGCCAAAAACTCTGCTTTCAAGAACTGGAGAACCATTCTTATGAGGTCATACAAATCAAGTGTGTCTTCAAGAAGGTGGTGCTTCTCTTTTCTCCCTAGAGACCCCATGGGCCATGCACCATTCCAACTTGCAGACTAGTGATTGCTCAGCACCGCTCCGAAGTCCTCTGCTGGCTCTCTGGGTACTGTGGACAGCATGGATGGACTCATGGGCTGCCATGCTACTCTCCAGTGCATTTCTCAAGCTTTGAAGAAGGAAATGTCTTCTGGAAGACCTCATGAGTTGTCACTAGGGGTTGGGGATAACTCAAAATAGGAAGGAAGTTCAGGATGATAAACCAGAAAAGAAAGACAATAACCCAAAACCACACACAAAAACCACAGACATGAAAAACAGCCCCACCACCTCCCAATGCCAACAAGAGTCACAGCCACTTTTAGCAGGGGACAAATAATACATTCTTTTTCTTCTTTGAAACATTTCTGACTTCCTGGCTTTTAATAACACAGTAAGAGTGTAGAATTCAAGTTATCATTTTCTGTGATATATTCTCATTTAATTATGTTTGCTACTGGTATTCTATCTTGGAATAAATACATCTGTGATTTTTATTTCAAATTGTAGATTGCAAAACCAATTTAATGTTTTGTGTCAAGCATCAACAAAAAAAGAAACAGAACAAAATAGGAAATATTATAATGCACTGCATACACAAAATAAGGGTAAGTATTGTTTTGTTTCTTTTCACATACAGTGAGATACAATAAAATACTGAACCATTCTTTAGATTTAACACAATCTGGTGGACAGTTTATATTATGCCTATTTATTTTCAGCCTCACCTTTGATTCCTATCTCAGCTGGAGCATAAAGCCAATGTATAGTTCAAGAAGAGTGCATACATGCTATTCTCTGAGCTTTAACTACCTCAAAATGGTCTATTTCTTTAACAATGAAAACATAACTAAGTATGAAATGATTTTATCACACTATTTCTCCCCTGACAACACTGTAATCCACGGTCCTCTGGGGTTTGTATTGTAAGATCTCATTTTTTGAATGTCTGATAATGTGTGTGTGTGTGTGTGTGTGTGTGTGTGTGTGTGTGTACAGGTGGTAGCTCCCTTCCCTTCCTTGCCTTTTTAATTACACTGCTTTGCCAGAACCTGTCTAGGAGTCAGCCTCTTCTTTCTGTCCACCTGTCCTTGCAATGTCTATACTCATGCTTTTATTTTAAATTGCATTTGGAGTTATTGCAACAAGTTCAGTGCCACCTCCACTCAAAGCGGTCCTAATCTTTCGCTCTTTCCTTTTGCTCCTCAAAATGATCAGTTGTAAATTAGCCCTAGAAAGTCAAATTACAGTCTCTCGTGCCTCCCTGTCATGTCAATACAAAGGGGCAGCCTGAGTGGAAGACTCAATGCTGCGCCCCTAGGAGTCTTGCTAACAAGTTCATTAAGCACCAGAAGAGGTGACGCTGGGGAGAGAGCCTCCGTCCTGACTTAGGAACAGTCGTTCACATTGGAATTTTCACACGCTCCTGCCCTGCCCTGCGCTGCGCTCTTTCCTTGGCGTGGACTTGTCTGAGGTGCCCTTGCCTGATAACCCTGCCTCTTGCCACTCTCTCCACACTTAATGCTCTTGTCCTCTTTCTCGTCCTTGAGCAAGCCTAGATGGACTTCGCCTCTGGGGCTTTGCACAAGTTCTTCCCTCTCCCTGGAAGGCTATGCTCCCAGATCTCTTGCCCGGCTTACTATTATTCTGATTTGCATAAATGTCACCTCCTCAGAGCAGCCTCCTCTGACCTCCTAGTCACACTCCTATATATCATCCTACTGATTTTCTTTGAATTTCTCAATACCTTACGTGTTCTTGCTTTTGAATGTTTACTGTCTGTCTCTCCCTAGATCTATGGAAGAGCCTTATCTATTTCGTTGCTGAAACCCTGAAGTCTTCACACTCCTAAAACACTGAGTGCTCCCTTAATTAGTGAGTAGTCCTGAAAATAAAATTATCTGGGCCTTACATTTGAAATTATGTGCACACATGTTTTTTGGCTTCATAGTCTTAACTCCAAAATACAATAATCAGAGTTTTATATTTTATCTTAGACAGGTTAACTTACCTCCTTCAATTATTTTTTCATATACAAACTAAATTATGTTTAATATTTTCACTTCAAAAATATAGGATAAATAACAGAACCACTTCTTTGAATGGAATCTATGTATCCATTGCAAAATTCCATTACTAGTCCTGAAAATTCAACCAACATCATCTGATATCATTAGTCCAAGCTGTTTATAACAAATGACAACCATTTTTTTTTCTGAACTTAAAAATGTGTTTTCTTTGTTCTGCCCCCACACGCACCCACATGTATACCTTCTTAAATTATATTCAAGGACTTTAGGGCAAACCAGTTCAAAATTATAATTATCAGGTCTTGTTAGGTGCTCAAAATCATCTAAACATTCTTCTTTTAGTCCAGCAAATTATAATCAAATCACTTAGAATCAGTGAATTGATTGGCCTTATGAAGGACCATCTCCATAAAACAGATATGCAGAAATATACATAGAATTTCAGTGGGTTCATGAACTCCACAAAGCTTATTTACAAACCCCAATTAGCAGCTTCTGCTTTAAATAATTTTTATCTTTTTTTATTTTATCCTCATGTGTTTTCATTTACAAGCAATTTTTAAGTCTTTAAGAAAGAACAAAATCATTCAACTTAAATTCAAGTAAACAATTTTAATATTTTAGGATTCTCTCTTATGATAAACATTATATAACCTTGGAAACAAGGTTGAGAATGTCTGATAACTTATTTTTAAATCTTTATTCATATTCGTAGTCATGTTTATTTACAAAGTTATAGTTCCAGAGACAAAATGTAAGGTTAAAATCTCTGAAAGGGCTCCTTAATTTGTTTTAGTTTCTGTTCCAATTTTTAAGGTTCCATATTAACTTCTTGAGTATGAGGCAAATCGTGCACCATGTTCTTTCTCAAAGTGGCCAGTGAGTTGGACTCTTGGTGGCACAGTGACAGATAAATCTTCATTATTTTGGACACTGAGAGAATGATCCTAGTGAGCTCATCCCGAACGAGCATACATCTTTGATTATAAGCATGGTAAACATCGCTGATACAGGTACAAGTCTGTATTGCTTTAGAAACGGCCAATCTGATGACCAAAATTTTGAGTAAAAGTACATCACGTGTCGATTTTTCCCAACTTGACTGAATTTAAAACAGTATACTTATGTTTTAATGTATGCAATATTTAAGGCTCAGATAAACTTAATAGATGATGTCTATCTTACCATTACTTTATGTATTTTTAAGTATTACGTTTTGAAAGAAAATACATTTCTAGGTTAATAAAATAGCGCAATCAAAACCTTTATTATATTTTTCTCATTAAAGTGAAATAATAAACCAATTGAATGAGAAAAATGGCAATAAAAGATTTAGCATGAAATATTATTCCTCGGGTAATGTCAAGAATATTATGAAAATATACACTTGCTTATAACTGAATCAAAGAAAATGAATGCATTTACCTTTGAAAAGCAGAGGTACTGATTGCCTTCAAGCTTCGGGTTATAGGGCCTTAGGCTGGGAGCTGATGGCCCCATATGGCTGATCTTCGGGTTTTGTAATGAGAGAAAATGGAAGAATCTCTCTGGAAGGAAAACTTAGGTCATTTATCTCTCAAGCTTATCTATTCCATAACGTATATGGAACACTTTAATAGTTCTGCCTATCTTTCTTTGCCAGAGTAGAAAACAGGTTCAAAATAAAATAGTCTGAATTATCATAAAGCCAAAAATAAGAATGGAATATTTAAAATTATACTTCACTTAACCAGTGAAAACTGAACACATTAATCTTCTTTAGTTGAGGAACTGCCGTCATCTTTTGCATATTGTATTTAGCCAACAACCAAATTTTAATTTTTAATTAGGAGACATTAAAATATAATTAGCAGCAAAGAACAGAATGACAAAGGTACGGAAATTCATAAAGGTCAAAGGAAGCAGCATTTCTAGCCATAGCAAGAAATGCTCTAACATGAATTTAGGGAATTACGGTGAGTGCTTCACCTTCCCCACATTCACCTCCAAGGCAAATTTTCTAGAAGCAACATTTCTTTTTGACAAGAGTAATAATGATAATAATACAGAAATAGCTGTCAAAACCAGTGAGTGTACATTCTTCAGAGTCAAGAGACTCTCAAACCTCAGTAAACACCATGTATAAAGGAACATAGCAAATTCCAACTTAGCACAGACATAACAAAATTAATTCAGACTGATACAATTTTGAATATGCACTTTCCAGAATGAAGCAGAGGACAACAAAGGTCGTCTGCAGCTGTCAGGCCTGTGGAAGTGAAACAATGTGTTACAAAATCCACGCAGTATATGAATCATCAAGGAAAAACAAATGCTTTGTCAAAATAAGTTGGTCAGTGGCCCAACACATAGATATTCTTAAGTATATATTTATATATATAATGATAAAAATCAGCTTGCATGAGGGTAGCAGTACATCTACTTTGAAGTTATAGCACAGATACTATAAGCAATTTACAGAATTTGTCAGGTTTGCATATACAGGAATTGCAAAATGAGTTAAAATACATTGAAATATAGAACACTCAAAATGTATTTCTATAAACCTCCTAGGATTGATGGAGATTGGCCATAACCAGCACTTGCCACCATTGAATAAGAACTGTAATCAAGGAAAAGAAGAAAAATCCAAGAAAAAAGTGGAAAATAAAAAAAAAAATTCTCCTGTCATTCCTGATTTAAGGTAATGTCCTTTTTGTTGACTTGCAGTGTTGATAGTTTTGTTCTTGCCCCTGAAAGGGGGTTTTGTTTGATGATAGTTTCTGTTCTGTAGCCTTTTGATCTCTGTTTGCTTCCTGAAGATACTGGGTCCTTTAGTAGGAAATCAGTGGTATCCATAGTAAATATTCCCTATCCCGATGACATTCGGGCCAACCCTTGAGCAGTCAGTGAGTGACTTTAGTCGCCGAAAGAAAAGGGAAAAAAATAGATCTTGCTATTAGAAAATGTCCTATCACTTCACACTAATTCTCTTAAAATAAAAGATCAGTGTTTTGCCAAAGAAAATATCAACAAAGCGTGTGATAGCCTCTTCATTTATGCTTCCGAAGCAGGCGCTCCTTGTGTAGTGAATTAAAGTACAGTGGGTGCAGGGTGGTGCTTGGAGTTTAGGGTCAACTTTGCTGTCCGCTCCGTAGATTTTACAGGCCATTTGCTCTTTGCTTTAAGAAGAGAAAGTGATATTGGAAAAAAGTCAGCACTTTAGATTAAAGCAAAGCACCCTTCACAAAGCCACAAACAAGAAGCAGGACAGAAAGTCCATGGCTTGTAGCTATCCTCGCACCTGCGGAAGAAGTTATAAGATATTCGCTCATCTTGAAGATTTCCAACGCTCCTTATTAGGCTGTTTTAAACACATACACATATATATTTAATTAGCTCGCCAGCTTGGCTCTGGTGCTCATGAATGTCTTGGCATGCACTGCAAACAACAACACATACAAAGGATTTCAGTCCCAGGAAGTTGGTGTTGTTTTGTCTGTTTTCAAACAATGCTATCCCACGGCTGGGAACACTGAGAGGGGTAAATCCAGATACTTTTCCCCCAAGTAATTCCTTGAGGATCATTCCCTAAAGTCATCTGGTTCTTCCTATATTGGTACCTAAAAACACATCCCTGTTTTTCCGACTGCATGACCATAAATCCACAGGGGATATGACACAACCTGAAAACAGCAGGCTTCTCAATGAGGGGGGAGCTTGTTCAAGGGTGGGTGCATTTGGGCATTTACTTTTAGAGTGAGGATTTTTTTTTTTTTTTAATCCTTGAAATCTGGGAGACAGTTAGTGCTACTGGAAACTCCTGAAAGAGCTCCAAGACTATCTCAGGGAAGAAACTGTAGTTTTGCGTTTTTTTCTTCATAGATTTTATTTAATAAGCTGCTAGCTACAATTGACATACTGTGTACCTTTATCAGTAAAGAACAAAAATGTGATGAGGATCGAAGCATTTTCTTCTTTCATTTTTAACAGGAGAAAGCTTAAATGTGTTTGAAGGGTGTAAACGTGGGAAAATGTAACCTTTTCAATACTTCATCTAAATCATGTTTGGGTCCACATTGACAATGACGAAAATTGTGGCAGAACCCCTTGTTCTCTAAAAGTCACTGTATGTAGCATAAATATTTGGCTCTTCCAAGGTAGCCTTTTAATAAACTTACATTACTGTATTTCTGCTAGGTTACTTTGCCTTACTGGTAGGTAGGCTATATATTAACCAAAATACAGCATCTCCTTACAGAAATCTAGTGACTGGAGGAAGACCCAGAGGTTAGTAATGGGGCTCTGTAGAGTAATCCTCTATTCAGGGTGAGTGACAAGTTTCAAAAAATGCAAAAGTGATAGTTCAGTCCACGTGCAGTTCTAAGTACAGAGATCATGCAAGGAAAATGCACACAATCTATGTAGAACCACTAACACCAGAGCTGTCCAAAATTAAACATGTATTCTCACTATCTTTTGAAGAGAAATTCTTTGACAGGGATTCATTTGATCAAAAAAAAAAAAAAAAAAAAGAAAGAAAAATAAATTATTAAATGCTTCCCTAAATAGGCAATAGTCCTCAATTTCACACAAAGTATGTCTGGTATCAAATACAAGTTTTAAAATATTAATACAACTTGGTAAAATAATTCACTCTTTAAAAAGTATTTTGTGAAATAATGGTTTTCTTTTCAGCAAGGGTATTGCAGATTGGCTCGGATTTGTTGAAACTGCACCACAATTTATGTCGTCCCTTTCTTAATTAATCAACCCTTCATAGGACAGGCCTGACCCCATTAGCCTAATGAGATATTAAAGAATCAGCTGCTTCATTTTGACCCAGCATTCCCTCTCATACTATATCCAGCATGTGCAAGTTAAAGTGTAATTTACATGAGTATTGTAACTAAAAAGAAACCCAATTACACAGTGTAAAGAATATTTTGAAGCTGCTAAAATTTTGAACTTCCATCAGATATGTAATATACTATTGCAGAATGGTACTTTTGTTTTCAGATTGTAATCATTCAGCCACTCTAGGTGCATGCATTTACTAGCATATTTTTAATTAAATACAATTTATTTTGCCAGAAAAAATTACAAAGATTTTTCCTATGTAGTAAATTCTAAAGCAAATCTGTGTTGTCATCAAATCACTGATTGTTTTTCTCCTTTCTGTTTTTTATTTATGTCTTGAATGAAAAGATATGTACTTCTTTATCTTTGCAGGCCTAAAGCCTTTTAGAAGTGAAATCTGAGAATCTAAAATGCTATAATTTCTCCTGTGTAATTTTAACAAATAATCATCACAGTCATTTTCATTCGGATTTATATTAATTGCATAATGGCATTACTGCTTAGCAAACAGGTTATGGTTTGTTGTATGGAAATATTAGCTTTGATGTAACAAGTCCACCTTGGCTACTCTGTGCTCATTTTACAGGTAGAAATGCTTGATTTTGTGAAATACTCAGAGCCGGGATTGCCGTCAGGATCCCTGAGTTCTGATTTCCTCTGCTGCCACTCACTTTGAGATCTTAAATGAGATACTTTTCCCCCATTAGTCCTCCAATGAGCATAATAACTGTGTAGAATTGTTTTATATTTGTCATATTAGTATGCCAGGTATTTTTTTGTGTTGTGAAAGGATTTCCTACTTTGTTTTATTTGGTTTCTTTCGTTCTCTGCTGAAGCCAAGCAGAGTAATCTGTTATTCCCTTAACACAATCACACATATAAGCAACAATTGCCCTCAGATAATGGCCTGTCCATTTCTCTGTTCCTAGCAGCTAGTTGTAATCTCCCTCTCCTCTGAACTTCAGCAGTATTTTCTTTTGCTAGTTCTTTACCAGGCCTACATGGTGTGTAACTCATCATATTTGTATCTTATTTCACTGATTATGCTATTATCTCATTAATAGCAAGGGGTAAAACTTTTTTTGCAATTTAAAAAATGACTTTCAATGTGTAAAATAAGGTCTCGAGAGTTTTAAAACTTTACCCCCAAGACAAAATACTCTGTGAAGAAGAAAGGAAGATGCTATTATCTAAATTATGTGAAGAAAATTTACAGGCAGCAGGCCTAGATGAAGGGGGTGTAATAGGACTTAGAGGTTTCTCTTGGACACAGAATGCCACTTCATTACGTCCTTCGACATCTATTTAATTATGACGCCTTTCATTGGCTTCGTTTTTATGCTTAAAGATTTTCATATCGCTCTTGCGAGTATAATTCCCCGTCTTTGCAAGGCAGAGGTGTCTTCTCCATTTTGTAAATGGGAGCGTCTAAGAAGTCTTAGAAGTCTAAGCAAGGCAGAAGCTTGGCTTCCATTTCTCACCCCTTTCTCTTCCTCATGCAACTGTGGGGTGGGCCTCGCCTCCCCTGAGATGCAGCAGGCAAGCATTTCTCAAGAGAGCGTGACAAATGAAAGCCTGGCCAAGCAGAAACGTGAAAAAGCCTTCCAGATATTAATTTCACTATTGTTATGATTTCAGGGAATAACAGAAATTCCATATATTTCATTACAAAAAGGAAGCAACATCAAAACAATCCAAACATACAGCCTCAGCAGTCAGGTGGAAACGGTGGCTGTCCTCCCCTCCAGCGGACTGCCTGTTGCCAGCCAGAGAGGGTCACTGCCTGGAGAGGCCAGGGCCTGCTTGGCGTCACTGCCACTTCTGGATGGAGAGTCTGCAGCACCAGCTCCCGTGCCCGCCCCTCCCCCCCCGTGCCCCTCTCCTGTGTCTGCCAGGTGGAAGTGCCCAGCTGCCTTTCAGCACCTTCCTTTTCGGTTTACACATCCATCTGTGCTACCATTTCTTCCCTGCGTCTCGCAGTCACCAGGCTGGCAGACAGCAGGAATGCTGACCAGTGCTGCCTCCCTCCGCGTGCCCACACTGTGCCCTCTGCAACGGCTGAAACTATTGCGGACCTGCTAGGTGCCAGGCAACATGCAGGAGGCACTGTGCCTCCATCATCTTAGTTAATCTTCACAACAACCCTGTGTGGCAAATATGCAGATCAGGAACACATAACCCAGCAACGTGAAGTAACTCATCCTAACAGGGAGTGATGCAAAGACACAGAAATGAAGAAACAGCAACGGAATGCGTTGGCACCAAGCAGAGATCTGCCGCTTTTTGAACCCCCCCGAGGCAAGCAGCCTGCTCCAATACCTCGCATTGTTAAATCGAGATGTGCAGCTATCATTTGAATGTATATTCATCTTTTCAGAGGAAGTGCAGCACACATAACACAGTTCACATATAACATACTTCATACCTGATATAAAACTTAACTTTTCCCCAATGCTGAACTGATAAATATTGGATATGAAAACATTATCAGGCTCTTGGTTTTTCTAAGCATTAACAAAACATAAAACTTGTTTAACCTTTGTAATGCACCAAATGTCTTATGATATAAGAATATTTTGAAGTTTTCACAGCATAGACTTTGACAGCTTACAAATGTTCCTCTGAATTCATTTAAATATTCATTTAATACCTGGCTTGAATATTATTCTAGCATTCCTTCTTCTTTCCAAAAACCTCTTTTCCAAGCTTTTTATTCAAATTTGGTAGTCTGGGCCCAAGAAAGGTGTCGTTGATGGGTCAAAGTGCCATCATCAGTTTTGTGACAGGCAGGGAATGAGAACTGGAGCTCTGGGCTCTAGCAAAGATCCCAGGAGGGGATGTGGGTATTTAATTCAAAGTGCAGGGTGGAGAAAACTAAATAAACAACTTATTCCAAGTACATTTGACCCGTTCTCCAAATACCCACTTTCTCTTGGCGTTGAGTATTTTCTGATGGGTTAATGTCCTACGTAAATACAACTCTAGTTGGCTTATATATGGGGCATGTTCAGCATTTCCAGAGCATCGGTCTGCAGCATTAGGCATGATTCCTGACTGCTTTTTCTCTTCTTTCTCTTCCTGTTTGGGCATCTAATGGAATCAAAAGGAGCAAGAAAAAAGAAAAAAAGAAAACCATTTTCTCCCCCACCCACAACCTCACTGTGGCTACAAGGTCTGAGTCCAGAATCCTCATTTTATAAAAGTGAGTATTAGTAAGGCTCACAGCAACACACCTAAAAATGGAAGTTCTCCTATAGTAAAAGTAGCAAGAGTCACATACTTTTCTTTCTGTGAAGAAGTCCAGCTTATGAAGAACTGAGTGTCCATTACAGCTCTTCGAGCAGACATGCCCCTTCAACATATTTCTCTTTTATTACAGATGCCAGCTTCAGAAAAGAAAATCGCTGTGTGAGAAAAACTGAGCTAGCTTCTAATGCAATGTTT